AATCAAATAAAATAAAATTAAAATCAAAACTTCCTATGCACCCATCTCATGCTGAGTGCCATGAAGAATAAGAAGAGATTGCAAGTCAATTCAGCCATTTATTTAGCACTGATTATATTCCAAGGTTACCCAGCAGTGAAGTAATATCGTTTGACTCAGTGTATCTGTCGATCACTGAGATGGCATCTGAAGACAAAACAATAAGGCAAAGGAAAGATTATAGCAAAGAAAAAAAATGCAACTACATTTAATGACAATATAAAAGAGTAAATAGAAAGAGGCAAAGAGAAAAATCTAGAAGATCCATGAGGAGGAGGGATGGGATTCGGAAATTACTTTTGGGCAGTGTGAGACCTGCTTATCCAACTGCCTGTTGGCCAGAGTCCCTCACACTCAGCACGCCCACGTCCCCCTCTCCTGCATTACATCAGCAATACCCTTCTGATTTGTCTCCTTGCTTCCTGTCTCTCCCTCCCCCAATACAGTCTCCAGACTGCAACCACAGTAATCTCATTAAGATGAAATCTGATTACCATACTCCACCTCTTAAAAAGGCTCCCCTCTCGGCCGGGCTCAGTGGCTCACATCTGTAGTCCCAGCACTTCGGGAGGCCAAGGCGGGTGGATTACCTGAGGTCAGGAGTTCGAGACCAGCCTGGCCAACATGGTGAAACCCCATCTCTACTAAAAGTACAAAAATCAGCTGGGCATGGTGATGGACACCTGTAATCCCAGCTACTTGGGAGGCCCAGACAGGAGAATCACTTGAACCTGGGGTGCGGAGGTTGCAGTGAGCCGAGATGGCACCACTTCACTCCAGCCTGGTCAAAAGAACGAAATACTGTCCCAAATAAAAAAAAAAAGAAGAAGGCTCCCCTCTCTAATGCCCTTTGGATCTAGTCAGTAGCACTCTGCTTCCCCCTCAAGCTTCTTCTTTTTCCTCTCTGTCCCTACTGGACGACATGGCCAACTGATCCCCTCCTACAATTCCTTTAACTTAGCCATCCCTACCCCACCCACTCGCTTTTGGTCCTTGGAAGTGGTGTTTGCACCCAACACCGCCAGCATGCTACTTCTCCTCCCCCACATTCCTGGGTGTGAACTGCAGAGGCCAAAGTGAGCTGGTCTACGGGGATGCACATTTCCTTTTTGAGACCCAAGAGGACAGGGTTATCTATTGTCGAGCCTGCCCCATTCTGCCCAAGACTAGAGGAGACCTGATTTACACTCAGAGCCTACACGAGAGTCCTGTAGTCTCTGGATTTGAGACAGAGAAAGAGAGTGCCTGCTTCCACAGGGTGAGGGATTTATCCTGGCTCCCTCTGGGGGTACAGGTTCTGCTTGCTGAGCCTGGTGTTTAAGTCATTTTTGCCAATTCTCAAATGGCTCCAGACTCGATAATTTACATAACTCATTCAAAAGGCAAATGAACATGCCTTTTGATTTACTTTTTATTATTTGGCTGGGGGAAAAAAAAAACAAGAACAAATATTCTCGTCCTACTGGGCATTACTCCCCCTATTAATGTTAATAATTCAGAGCTGGTTTCGAAGCTCCTTGGGGGCTTTTACCCATGACCTGAGTATTATTTACTACAACCTGCCTGGCACGTATCAAAATTCACCATGGGCAGGTAATTGTAACTATGAAGAAGAAAAGGGCTGGCACGGTGGCTCATGCCTGTAATCCCAGCACTTTGGGAGTCCGAGGCGGGCAGATCATCTGAGGTCAGGAGTTTGAGACCAGCCTGGCCAATATGGTGAAACCCTGTCTCTACTAAAAATACAAAATTAGCTGGGCGTGGTGGCGCATGCTTGTAATCCCAGCTACTCAGGAGGCAGAGACAGGAGACTCGCTTGAACCGGGTAGGCGGAGTTTGCAGTGAGCCAAGGATGGCACCAGTGCACTCTTGCCTGGGCAACGAGAGCGAAACTCCTCAAAAAAAAAAAAAAAAAAAAGAAGAAGAAGAAAAGTGAAAATTGTCCATAAATTCTACCACTCCAAGATAAACTGGTAACATTTTGGCGTATTTCCTCCCAGTTGTTTTGTCTCCACATATATTTTTTTAATAGCTCTTATTATGTGATCTTGGGCCTTCTTTTCCCACTGTACTTTCTTGTTTGGTGGTTTCATACATTCTGATGGCTTTTATTACATCTCTGAGATGATAATTTAGCACAGATCTATGCTCTGAGCTTCAGATTTTTCTGCCCCTATATCCCAAACTTGCTCCTCTGAAACCATTTTCGTAAATGACTGTTACCATCTGTCCCACTAATACCAGATACTTGGAGTCATCCATAATGATTTTCTGTTTCCGCAATTCTTCCCCACCCCTTTCCCATCTGTCTTAGTCCATTCCTGCTACTATAACAAAATACCATAAACTGGCTGGCTTATAAACAACAGAAATTTATTTCTCACATTTTTGTAGGCTGGTAAGTCCAAGATCAAGATGCCGGCATATTCAGTGTCTGGTGAGGGCCCACCACCACCAGTTTTCTGGTTCATGTAAGTGGTACCTTCTCACTGTGTTCTCACATTGGTGGGCAGGGGCCTCTTTTATAAAAATGTTAATCCCATTCATGAGGACCCCGCCCTTGTGACCTAATCTTCTCCCCAAATCCCCACCTCCTAATGCCATCACCTTGGGTATTAGGATTTCAACATATGAATTTGGGGGATGACACAAACATTTAGACCATAACACCATTAATTGTTAGACATAGTCATCTAACAATTGTTCTTTCCTCCCCGTGTCCACTGCCACCACCCTAATTCAAGCCACCATCCTCTCTTTCTGGTCTGCTCCCACAGCCCTATTAGTGTCTTTTTCCCCACACTTAACCCCTACAGTCATTTAATGGGCTCAAAGGTCCTGCCAATCTTGGCTCCCTCATTTCATGCCCCTCGAATTCTTGTCACCTGGCCCTCTTTCTGTCCCTTGATATATGCCAAGCTCTTCTTCTCTACTTTGTGCTTAGTATTCTCTTCTTTTCCTGAAGGCTTTTCCCTCAGCTGTTCCCATAGCTAGTTTCTTCTCTTCCTTCAGTTCTGATCTCCAAAGTCACCTCTTCACATAGACCTTCCCTGATGTTTTAATCAAATTTGTTCTCCCTAATATTGTCCATCAAAGCAACTAGTTTATTTCCTCCCTGGCGTTAATCACAACATGACATTCTTTTGTTAATTGTATTCAATTTCTTTCTTTAACACAAAAATTAAGTTAAAAAATTTTGTAGTTTCCCCCCAAGTAGGATGGGCAGATGAAATATAGAATGCTCAGTCAAATTTGAATTTCCGATAAACAGTGAATTTTTAAAATATGAGATTTGGGACATAATATACTAAAAAAAGTATTTGTTATCTGAAATTTAAACTTAACTGGGCGTCACATTTTTGTTTTCTTTTTAGACGGAGTCTTGCTCTGTTGCCAGGCTGGAGTGCAGTGGCATGATCTCGGCTCACTGCAACCGCCACCTCCCGGGTTCAAGCAATTCTCCTGCCTCAGCCTCCCGAGTAGCTGGGGCTACAGGCACACGCCACCACGCCCGGCTAATTTTTTAATTTTTATTTTAGTGGAGACGGGGTTTCACCATGTTGCACAGGCTGGTCTCAAACCCCTGAGCTCAGGCAATCTGCCCAGTTCGGCCTCCCAAAGTGCTGGGATTACAGGCGTGAGCCACCGCGCCCGGCCGCGTTCCATATTTTTATTTATTTATTTTTAACAGCTTCGCAGAATAAATTAGCGTCCCGCATTTTCTTTTTCCTTTGAGACGGAGTCTCGCTCTGTCGCCTGCCCAGGCTGGAGTGCGGTGGCGCAGTCTTGGCTCACTGTAACCTCCGCGTCCCAGTTTCAAGCGATTCTCCTGCCTCAGCCTCCTGAGTAGCTGCGACTACAGGCGTGTGCCACCACGCCTGGGTAATTTCTTGTATTTTTATTTTTATTTTAATTTAATTTTATTTTTTTTGAGACAGAGTCTCGCTCTGTTGCCCGGGCTGGAGTGCAGTGGCCGGATCTCAGCTCACTGCAAGCTCCGCCTCCCGGGTTCACGCCATTCTCCTGCCTCAGCCTCCCGAGTAGCTGGGACTACAGGCGCCCGCCACCTCGCCCGGCTGTTTTTTTGTATTTTTAGTAGAGACGGGGTTTCACCGTGTTAGCCAGGATGGTCTCGATCTCCTGACCTCGTGATCCGCCCGTCTCGGCCTCCCAAAGTGCTGGGATTACAGGCTTGAGCCACCGCGCCCGGCCAATTTCTTGTATTTTTAAAAAGAGACGGGGTTTCACCGTGTTAGCCAGGATGGTCTCCATCTCCTGACCTCGTGATCCACCGGCCTCGGCCTACACAAAGTGCTGGGATTACAGGCGTGAGCCACCGCGCCCGGCCTCGTATTTTCATTTCTTAAATCCGGCACCCTTACCCACAGGCCTGACTCTTGTCTTTTCCTGGGGTTTTATCTTCCTGGCCTAGCCCAGAGCCCACTATTTACAAGGTGCTCAGTAATTGTTCTATGTGAATTAACTATCTGCATGCTGTTTTGTATGTTTTTTACTCATCTGAAATTTACATGTATTTATTAGAAATGCCCACACCCACTAAAAACACTTGTTAAAGACAATTTTTGAAAATATATTATATTGCCAAAACTTCTTTGTTTTCCGTTCCTGCAAAATTGGTGTAGTAGGAGTATCTTCCCTTATCACATTTTGACAATTAGAAGAGTTAATGGAAAAGTAAAAGTGAAGTTTTGCATCGTGCTCGGCCCACTAGGCGCTCAATAATTTCAGTTCTTTATTAAATGAAGCCTGTGCACCATTTTAGAGCAAAGCAAAAAAAGCGCGTTTGTAAAGAACGGGTGGGGGTAGGGAAAACGGTTAGAAAGGTCCGCCGACCCAACACGGAGGGCCCGGGAAAAAGGGAGGAGAGAAGAGTGAGTGACAGAGGAGGCAGCCAATGGAGAGACTGGGAACTACTTCCCCCCTCCCTTTGCGTTTCAAATTCTAAGCTCCGTTTCCATCCGGGTCCTTCAGCCTCGTTCCCGGGCAGTATAAAGTTTGCTGTCTCCTTTGTTCGCCCTCGTTGCGCAGCAGTGCTAGCGGCTTCGCGGTTTGGTCCTCCGACCGGGCAGCCGCCACTGGTGCTGAGCTGCTCGGAGGCCCGTGTCGGCGAGCTCGTTGGAGCTTGAACCCATTGTCACCCCTCCGGTACGTGTCTCCTTTCGTCAGTCCGTTTTTCGTGACACTCGCCGTGTTAGGACTGGGGATTATATCTCCCTGGAGATGGGGGTGGCGGACGCCATTTTAAGAACCCAAAGGTTCCGACCTATTTAAATAAAGCAGAAGGGGTCGAGGGAAGACAAATGAGGGGGCCCGTTTGGTTGTATGCCTCTCGAGAAAGTTTCGCTGCCGCCTGCGGGAGTTGGTAGCGGAGGTCGGGGCTTTGTAGGCTGGAGCGGGGCGAGGAGCGACCGCACCACCGCGATACCTGCATTGGTATGGCGCTGGCGCTAATGATGGGCATGTGGACTTCCATGCGGGCTGCGGGCTACGTATTCATTGGCGGCCCCGGAGAAGAAGTCCTCTGAATGTTCCCAGCGAATGTTGGTGGTAAAAGTTAGTCCCCTGACCAGTGTCAGTGGTTCTGGGTTGAATCCAAGTGTCGCCATTTTGTCTTTTACACGCGGTTTTTAATGACGAGTTTTAATTAGGTTCCGCTGCAGTCACGGCGTGTCGAGTGTTAGTGTGTGCGTCCGCGTTCCGTTACTTAATAGGAAACGAGGTTGACAATTTGTTTTTATCTTTTTGGCTGGATAGTAGAATTTTAGGTAGGGCGGGGGCCGGTGAAGAAGAGGCGGCATAACTTGGCTCAAACTTCACATTTCTCCTTGGATTTAGTAGGGAATTCTAAATAGGAAAAGAGGACGTTGGAAGAGGGCTTGGTGTTAAGGTCCTGTGCCTGGCCTGTGACCTTGGGAGTCTTTTAAAACCCCATCGTTAGGAAGGGCGTGATGAGTAATTGAATCTTTCAAAGGCAACAGAACTAGAACTAGAAGTTGGTTTTTCAGATGTTAAGCAGCTGTTGCTTAAGAACAGCTATGGGTGATCAAGGGTAGTGGTAAGAGTTAAACTGGCCCTTTTAACCAGTTTTATGTAAATTGCACTGTTACTAATCTACTTAATTCAAATTGCTTCCTACTGTGACTGAGGCTTAGCTTGTTACCCTTTTCTTTAGTTATTAAGGAACAATGGTTTTAGTGGAAAATATGAAAAACGTGCCAAAGTAAAAGTGTCCAATAAACTTGAGGAACTTTTTGCAGTGAGGTAATACTATTCCGTTTCAACAGACTCACCGGCAAAAAAAAAAAAAATGGTTGAAGCAGATCGCCCAGGAAAGCTCTTCATTGGTGGGCTTAATACGGAAACAAATGAGAAAGCTCTTGAAGCAGTATTTGGCAAATATGGACGAATAGTGGAAGGTGAGTTGTCTGGCAGTACAGGCTGGGCTATCATAATTAAAATGTAAGCTATGATGAATTTGATTGCATTGATCGTCTGACATGATAATGTATTTTGTCCTCTAAGAAGTTCTGAGCTTTCTGTTTACACATTTACTTTGGTTATTTCATTTGAACTAGGGTAACACTTTATTTTTCTGAAAACTACTTTTTAGTACTCTTGATGAAAGACCGGGAAACCAACAAATCAAGAGGATTTGCTTTTGTCACCTTTGAAAGTCCAGCAGACGCTAAGGATGCAGCCAGAGACATGAATGGAAAGGTGAGATTGTCTACACAATGGATGATAACCTGTTAACAGTGCATAACATAACATAGTTGCCCAAGTCTGGTCTAGGGCAGCTTTTGAGTTTTCGTCGTTTTTCAGTATATACCTGTCTGGGACTCATCCTGTTTGTGATCCCGTTCCAAAGAGTATTCTGTAATTGCAGAACCAAATCTGGTAGTGAGTTATATCTTACGCTGTTAACATTCTCTCAGTTCAGAATAATTATGACATTACGTGGTACCTTTTTTTTCTTTTTTTGGTAGTCTCCCTCTGTCACCTAGGCTGGAGTGCAATGGTGTGATCTGCCCACTGCAACCTCTGCCTCCCGACTTCTAAATGATTATTCTGCCTCAGCTTCCCGAGTAGCTGGGATTACAGGCACGCGCGACCACGCCCGGATAATTTTGTATTTTTGGTAGAGACGGGGTTTCACCATGTTGGCCAGGCTGGTCTCAAACTCCTGATTTCAGGTGATCCACCCGCCTCAGCCTCCCAAAGTACTGGGATTACAGGTGTGAGCCACTGCACCTAGCCAACATGATACATTTTGTCTTGAGATCCATAAGCCATATTTTGATAACTTGGCTTTTAGTTTTGATAACAAACTGATACCTACTTGGCCTTGTTTTAAATTTTACCATACAGTAATGCAGTGGATTCACCTTATGTTTCAATCCAGATCATCAGTATCGTTTTTAAGTATTAAGAATTTTAAGTGGAAAAGCCCCATTTAACTGGCTATATTTGCAGTGTTTTTTCTTAGACTAATTAGTGAGCAACATTTATCCATAACTGTATTTTGAAGGACCCGTTAGTGTCTTAGTGCATAGTAGATGTGCAAATTGTTTAAATCTTGATTTAACCATATCTTTCTTTTTTTTAGTCATTAGATGGAAAAGCCATCAAAGTGGAACAAGCCACCAAACCATCATTTGAAAGTGGTAGACGTGGACCGCCTCCACCTCCAAGAAGTAGAGGCCCTCCAAGAGGTCTTAGAGGTGGAAGAGGAGGAAGTGGAGGAACCAGGGGACCTCCCTCACGGGGAGGACACATGGGTAATAACTTGCGTGGACCTCGGGTTTGGTGTGTAAATTAGGGACTGCAAGCTCCCAGCAAATGGATGCTTTGGTTAAGTCCTTGAGGAAAGGTGCCAACTTTTGAAATTGATAACACTTGTTCATCTATCAAAGTGATTGCCAGTTGAAAGCATGGGAAGCATGTGAGATTATAGTGTTAAACCGTGGACAGTGTTACTTCTTGTCCAAGTAGTTTACTCTGTAGGAAAGGCATTTAAAAATTGATAAGCCAAAGTGTTGGACATGAAAATGAAATCATTTTTCTTTTATTTATTTTTTTTGAGACGGAGTCTCGCTCTTTCGCCTAGACTGGAGTGCAGTGGCGGGATCTCAGCTTACTGCAAGCTCCACCTCCCGGGTTTACGCCATTCTCCTGCCTTAGCCCCCTGAGTAGCTGGGACCACAGGCGCCCGCCACCTCGCCTGGCCAGTTTTTTGTATTTTTTAGTAGAAACGGGGTTCCACCGTGTTAGCCAGAATGGTCTCGATCTCCTGACCTCGTGATCCGCCCGCCTCAGCCTCAACCTCCCAAAGTGCTGGGATTACAGGCTTGAGCCACTGCGCACAGCCCATTTTTATTTTTTAAAGTTAGCTGGGCATGGTGGTGGGCGCTTATAATACCAGCTACTCAGGAGGCTGAGGCAGAAGAATCACTTGAACTCGGGAGGCGGAGGTTGCAGTGAGCCGAGAACGTGTCACTGTACTCCAGCCAGGGGGAAGAGAGTGAGACTCCTCAAAAAAAAAAGTTTAAGACTACCTTCAGTTCTTACTTCCCCAGTCTATATAACTGCACTGCATGTTCCATCTAGTACAAGTGAAACTAGACTAGCCAGATTAATAATGGTCATTTTTGTTCGTTCGTTTGTTTTTGGGAGACAGAGTTTAGCTCTTGTTGCGCAGGCTGGAGTGCAGTGGCACGATCTTGGCTCACAGCAACCTCTGCCTCCCAGGTTTAAGTGATTGTCCTGCCTCCGCCTCCCGAGTAGCTGGGATTACAGGCATGCACCACCACCTGGATTTTTGTATTTTTAGTAGAGACAGGATTTCACCATGTTACGCTGGTCTTGAACTCCTGGCCTCAGGTGATCTACCTGCCTCGGCCGCTCAAAGTGCTGGGATTACAGGCCTGAGCCATTGTGCCCAGCCTAATGGTCATATTCTTGATAAAGCAAAGGAAATTTTATAGTGGCCGAGTTTAGTGGTTCACGCCTGCAATCCCAGCACTTTGGGAGGCCGAGGCAGGAGGATCACAAGGTCAAGTTCGAGACCAGCCTGGCCAGCATGGTGAAATCCCGTATCTGCTAAAAAAAGAATACAAGAAATTACCTGGGCATGGTGGCGCACACCTGTAATCCCAGCTACTCGGGAGGCTAAGGCAGGAGAATTGCTTGAACCCAGGAGGCGGAGGTTACAGTGAGCTGAGATAAAGCCACTGCACTCCAGCCTGGGCGACAGAGCGAGACTCCGTATCAAAAAAAACTCTCATATCTTTCTTGATTCTTGTGAGTAGTAATATTTTTCTTTTCTATTCTTGATGTAGATGACGGTGGATATTCCATGAATTTTAACATGAGTTCTTCCAGGGGACCACTCCCAGTAAAAAGAGGACCACCACCAAGAAGTGGGGGTCCTCCTCCCAAGAGATCTGCACCTTCAGGACCAGTTCGCAGTAGCAGTGGAATGGGAGGGAGAGGTAAATGTTCCATGTATGACAATCTGTGCTACTACTGTAACACAAAGAATTGAGAGGTGAATGATGCTTAAAAGTTTAATTGGCTGGGCGTGGTGTCTCATGCCTGTAATCCTAGCATTTTGGGAGGCCAAGGCAAGAGATTGAGACTATCCTGGCCAACGTGGTGAAACCCCGTCTCTACTAAAAAAATACAAAAATTAGCTGGGCATAGGGTGGGTGCCTGTAATCCCCGCTACTTGGGAGGCTGAGGCGGGAGAATTGCTGGAACCTGGGAGGCGGAGGTTGCAGGGAACCGAGATGATACCACTGCACTCCAACCTGGCAACAGAGAGACTCCGTCTCAAAACACACACACCCCTACCTTTATTCGTGGAGTCTGGGCGCGGTGGCTCACACCTGTAATGTTGGCACTTTGGGAGGCTGAGGTGGGCGGATCACGAGGCCCAGAGTTTGAGGCTAGTCTGGCCAACATGGTGAAACTGTTTCTACTAAAAATACAAAAATTAGCCGGGCACGGTGGCGGGAGCCTGTAATCCCAGCTACTCTGGAGACTGAGGCAGGAGAATCACTTGAACCCAGAAGGCGGAGGTTGCAGTGAGCCGAGATCACAGGACTGCACTCCAGCGTGGGTGACAGAGCGAGACTCCATCTCAAAAAAAAAAAAAAAAAACTTTTAGTCATGTGTTCTAGGTGATCTAGATAAATGGAATTAGCACTGAAAAAAATTTTAAATGTGAATGGGAAATTCTAGAAAAAATGAGATGATCTAGTCTCCGTAATGTCATCTTTGAAGTCAGTCTCGTTTTCATAGCCTGAATGTAAGTTCACGTTTTAACTTCTTTCTCTGACTGTGTTTAAAAAAAGTGATGTAATTTTCCTTAAGCTCCTGTATCACGTGGAAGAGATAGTTATGGAGGTCCACCTCGAAGGGAGCCACTGCCCTCTCGTAGAGATGTTTATTTGTCCCCAAGAGATGATGGGTATTCTACTAAAGACAGGTAATAGAAAATTGCAGCTTTTTAAATTAATAATTAAGGTTGAAGGAAAGCTTATCAAAAGCATGAACCAAAACTTTTGTGTTTGTAGCTATTCAAGCAGAGATTACCCAAGTTCTCGTGATACTAGAGATTATGCACCACCACCACGAGATTATACTTACCGTGATTATGGTCATTCCAGTTCACTATCAATTTATAGTGTTGCCATATTATCCTGACCATTGACCTCTGCAGGTAT